CCCTATCGATATCCCCGTTTGCGTGCGCTACAATTTTCTCCGATTGATTACCTTTGGTTTGGCTCGAGCTTTTACTTTCTTTATAAATAAAACACCGCGACCGAAACAACAAATGGACGACCTTATATTTTATTCGTCTCCACCAAGTCCAGACACGAAAAGCTTTTATTTTTCTCCAGTACAAACGTATATATACCTTCTTTCTGGTCTGTCCTGATTTTACCTCGAAACCGACGGTTGGCCGTTTGTTCGAAAACAATGATGAATCCATCGCTATACCGTAAATAGATATACATAGATGGAAAAGCCATCTTGTTCGTATTGTACGAGAAGTTATACATAGATTATAATAAGATTACGATAGGTATGGAAAAACCCAGAGTGGATGAGCCGGGCAGCTGCTCTCTGGGGCTGAAAAGAGATGAGCCGGTTTGGGTTCGAGCGCGGAGCACCTGCCGGCTCTGAAACATTAATCCGGTCTCCTCGGCAGGGCTGCCTTTATTATTTCGCAGCAGCAGCGGCATTGGCACGATTTATATACACGGAAAAGAGTAGTTGAAGGAGGAGGAGGAGCCAAGTGGAAAAGCACCGAGTACCGGGCAGTGGATAACTTTGGGGCCACGGCTGAATTATTCGGGGAGTGGTGCATTATGCAGAGGAGCCAGCGAGAGCTGATGGCTGGCTGTGAGCCCCTCAATAAACGATGAGATGCATATGAGCGGGAGGTATGTACCACCACCACCGTATAAGTAGGTAGATCCGCGTATACCGGAGAGCGTGTCTATATATACGTGCACCGGCTCGGACGGAGAATTGGTGATTACCCGGCTCGTCCCTCTCGCGGCACGCGATCCCCCGGCTCGAGCCCAAAATTTCCGCTTTTCTCGAAAACACAAGTTTCTCCCACCCCTTCACCTGCACGTACAGGTATGCACATACATACCTCGCGAGTGTATATGCACGCCTCCTCTGGTTTTCTATGCCACGAAACTTTTTGTATACGTGCGTGTAGCTCGAGGGGGAGGTTGCGTGGGGGGGTACTTTACGCTTCGCGGGAGCACAAGAGCGCGAAGAAGCGAAAGAAGTGGGAACGAAGGAGGAGCTTGCAACTTTACACCGAGGGGGGGTATTCTGCAAAAAGTCCGGGGTTGCTGCGCCATACCTCACGCGTATAGGCCCGCGAGTGTCTCTCTCTCTTTCTCTCCACTGCGAGTTGATGGGAAAAAAAAAACCTCGGGGTTTTCGTACTTTCTCTCGGATACGTGTGGGCCGTGCACTGGAGACACCGCCGCGCGCCTGCTGTGCTACTCACTTATTTATCGTTTAGCGGAACGTTTGCGCGTATATATACATATATATATGCGCCCGCGAGTCTTTTGAAATTTCTCCTCGGCTTCGCGCGTGTTTTATCTTACACGCGAGTAATAATTTTCGAAAACAATAAAACCGAGCTCCGGTTTTTAATCCGCCGCCAACTCGTTTTCTCTCTTATTTATACGCGACCGACCCGACGCAAATGCTCAGACTTTCTAATTAAGCAGAGAATAACTATCCAGTGTACCTATTGTATAAAATCGAGATTGCTTCCGAGCACGGGGGTGTACAGTGGCAGTGGGGGGAGGGTATTATTTCAACTGAAAAAATACTCTTACGCGCGCGCGTGTACACGAACGGGGGGGGGTGTAAGGGGGGTAAAAAAAAAAAATAACCAAAGCCGAGTATCACAAAATGCTTTCGTAGGTGAAACACGCGCCGGCCATTTCATAGCCAGATAACTTTCAAAAGCGATGCGCGTGAACGCTTTTTCACCCCCTCCCCATTCCCCGGCGTGTGAATTTTTCGCCCAAAGAATAGTTGGTGTGTGTATATAACGGCCGGGCGAGTAGTTACGCCGCGTGGGTGGGTATAATACCCAACTACGCATCGCTGGGCTCGAGCTCGAGTGCGTGAACGCTCTTTTCACGCGAGCGCGCCCTGTGAAGGTGTACACGCCCGAAATTGCTCTCGAACGAACGAAAGGAAAAAAAGTAAAGGGTATAACAAAACAAAAAAAAGGAGAAAAGAGGAAAAATAAATAAAGTCCGGGCCAGCTTGGTTAATCAAATCGGGGTACCACGTTGTTCTTGCGTGGCAAATAATGTAATTATCCCAAAGAAGGTATGAAAAAAGAGAAAAAAAAGAAAAAAAAACAGGAAAAGCTAAATTGAGAAGGGAAGAAAAAACAAAAGCGTATCCAGGTTACGGCAGGTGCTTCTGTTGCTACACTGCAGGTTAACGCAGAGGAGCTTAGAGCTGGTACTATAGGTATTTTCCATAGCTCTCCCGTGTTATTCTTCCTTTGAGCTACTATACTGCACAGCAGAAACGACACCCGAGATAGGTACTATACGTACATATAAATTCTGCCTCTGCAAGTACGTATACATAGACTACTCTCGAGTCGTGCAAAAAGAGAATCGCGCGTCCTTTGGCTGCCCTCCCACGTGTGTACACACACGCAAGCACACACGTATTATAACCTTCTTAAACGCGCTAGCGGATGAAAGGGAATCTCTGATGAGATTCCACGGGAGACGCGATCGCTATCATCCGCCCTTTGTTTCTCGGCTCGCTGTAACCTTCCGGCAGCTCGTCCTCGCCGGGGCTCGCTTTCCCCGACGTTTCTCCGTTTTCTCTCTCGACGTTAATTTATTTTCCGCAATAATTAACGCCGCACGTCGTGCACACACACACGCGCACACCGCATAAACTTTAATTTGCACCGCCGGGGTATATATACATGATGTACCCGCTCCGACGAGAGCTCGTTATAAAGTATATACCTATCCCGTTTTAGAAGCCAGCTGCTCTCGAGCTTTTCTTTTTCTCTCGGATCAAACAGCTACAAAACGGGGCGAAAAAGGCTTGGTAATGGCTCGGCTTGCTTTTGTACGTATTCTTTCGAAACTTTTATTTGAGCAATCACAGCGCGTATTTATTACATCCGTGTACGGTCCAAATGGCATATGGATCGAATAGAACTTGCTTTTTTTTTTCTTTCATGTCGTTGGCTTTTGTTGTTATCAAACATGGTTTTGCTGCTATTTTTTCGTTGGCTTTCGCGGTTTATTTTATAGTCAAAGTTCGCGCGAGTCAAATATCATTCAAAAAAAAACCAACGCGAGTTAAACAATCGGATTTTTATGGCCAATCCGTGACTCCCTTTCGTACGCGAATAAATACGGGCTGGATTTTTTTTCATCTCGATTTCGATGCACGTGCGTATACATGTGTATACTTATACTCCACGTGAGGATTAATCCGAGGAAAATCCTTCGATAATGACGATTCTTCCTCGGAGTCGTTGCGAACAAGCGCCTCCCCGAGCTACAGTGATTGGATAACTTTCGAAACTCTCATCTCCGCTTCGTCGCAACTAAAAAAAAAAAAAGAATAAGAAAAAAAGGCGAAAGGTGGATTTTGTGCAAAAAAAAAAAAAAGGTGCACGAAAGGGTATTGGAGGGGTGGAGGGTTCGCTGTGTGCATAATAAATTTTTGTTAAACGTAACATCGGGCTGTATAAACCAGAGAATATACATATATGTATATGGCCAGAGAGCGCTATTAAGCGGCCGCACAAATGGGAAGTAAAAGTGGAGGAAGAAAAATAAGTCCGGGACACGAAAAAGGTGTAGCCCGGAGAGGGCACAAAGAAAGGACTATCTCTTTCTGTCTTTCTTCCTCGCCCAGCCCCGAGAGCTGCATAGCTCGTTGGGCGCGATATAAATCCTCCCCCCCCCCTTTCCACCCTAACTTCCTCTGGACGATAAAGCCTCGTTGATCGCGTTTCCTTGCGGGGCGAAATTATGCAAAAACAAAAATGATTCTAGCGTCGGGGGCTACCTCGAGCCTATACGTGACCGGATTATCCGCCTAGACTCTCCTCTCCGCGCGCGTCATGTGCGCCGTTCGTGGAAACGGCAGAGAAAAGATAATACACGTATTTATGTATACGCTGCGGTGGCGAGTATCAAAACTATACGCATACTCACCGCTACCTCCTAAATAATTCCTCTCTATTGACTGCTGTAAGTTATTTTTGTCTATTCACTCATCTCGTAAAAAAAAGGGCACGAATTTCTCCTATATCTCTCCCCAATGGATATTTATTGATCTGTTGTTCAGTAAAAGTGCTGCGTTTGTTATCCACGGAGATTCTCCGTCCAGTCGTCCGGGGAGAGGCAAAGAATGCCATTATCCTTGATGCATGCAAACTACGTTGCAATCGATAGCCCCGATCCCCCCAGGGGGGTGTATAGCGCACTATCCTCCGAGAAACCGCGCTTTTCCGCGAACGACAACCCCAGGGCGTCCCGTCCGGGAAATCAGAGATGCTCGGTACTCGAGGGCGAGTTGAATCGCGATGAGTCGCGGAGGATACACATATACATTCCGGTGGCTCTTCCCCCCCACCCCCTCCCCATCCCTGTCATGGAAGCGCGTCATGAATTTTCATACACGCGGCACCTTCTCCCGGGTAATTCTGTATTTTAATTAGATTACCCCGTCAAATGGAGGAGAACTCCCGGGGGGCTTGTAAATGCGCAACACCAGTTTGTTGCAGGTGGTGGGTTTAATGGCACCGAGATTCGGCGTTAAATCCGATAATGCATTCCGCGGAGCAAAAGTCCATCGAAGCCGCCAAATGTAGCCAACATACGCAGTGGAGGGGGGGGGGGCAAAAAAGTAGACTCAAATGTACACGAAAGTAATGCGAAACGCGGTCGGTTAGTGTTGCCGGTGCAGCAGAGGCCCATCCCTTCCCCTTGGACCCCCTAGACAACGGTACAAGGGACGAAAGGTTCGCTAGCCTTTGTCAATTAAGGTATAGACGAGGGTGCGCGTAATTTACGCGTTGACATTTTTTTTTCCTCCCTCTATCGGCACGAGTATAGATACATAGGTATATAGGTATAGGTGTACTAATTACAGATGGCAATTGACTCGAAGCGATCACTCACTTTTGACAGACAGACAGACGGGCAGACAGCTTGTTGTGGGGGTGTGCGTGCCGCGACAGACGACACTTCCGGATGTTAGTCGGCTCTTTGCGGAGATCCGAGACGGAAGGCGGCTATATATACAGTACTCGAAAGACCTATATAAACCACCACCAGCACGACCACCACCACCACCACCACCAATACCAAAACACAGCCACAACCACGACCACCTCACAAACTATCTATCTATCTATTGATTGATTTATATATTATACATATATATTTTTTTTATTGCTCGCACTTGTACAACAGAAACCACGGCACTTGAGCTTCCTCTTCTTCTTTTCGCAGTTTGACTGGGCCTGCATCGGCTCAGCCACTGGGCGCGCGCTCGGGGCCCCGGGGCATGATCTATCTCTCTCTCTCTTATTATTCAACGACGCACCTGACAGCCCTCAGCGGCAAAACGACCGATCCGCATCGCGGGCACTATTTTTCAACCGGCCGAACATCCCCCGGGTAACAACGTCGCACTCGTGTTTCATCACTTTTAGACCTTGTCAGCATGAAAACGATGATTATAATTGTGATTCGCAGCAAGGGGCGCTGGGGGTGATAAACAAACCACGGGTCGAACACATAACTCGACCGATGGGGCAAGCACACGCGCACCGGTCACGGAACCATTGCACTGGGGCGCGTTGGGCCCACCCAGTATTGTGGCAGTATCGTTGCCACATCCGAAGGGAGACCAGCGAGGGGGTGGTCCGATTGCGCTTTCACTCCGTCGTATCGTCCGCGAGCCGCAGGAGGCACATATCGCGACAGTCACCACTGAGGACCAGCAGAGTTGCAGGCGGTCCCCCCCCCTTTTACTCGTCGCAGGAAGAGGAGGTGGGTGGCCCGGAGAGGCCACAGCCCGCGGCGGGAGAGTTAAGTTCCTTCGCTACCTAGGCTGTGCGAAACTGTGTCAGCGATACACTCCCGATGACGCGCGTGTACGTATGTATGTATGTATCGTGATTGTTATGTCGCGTGTATAGGTGTGCCCGGTCTCCTCCTCTCGTGCTCCTCGCACGTACACATAACTAAATTGCGGGACTGCGCTGCAAAAGCGACGGAGCCACTGCGCTCTCTCTACCACTGCGGGCGGCCACCGTACTGAGGTATAGGTAGCCCACCAGATGTACGCGCCGACGAGTACGACGTTGGCTCCCCTGTTCGCGCCAGTGGAGGAGCGCGCGCATCAGCCACCCCTAAAAACGCGTGTGAACGCGCCCTCCTCCTACTCGTTGGCGCTGTTGCACAGGCGCGAGACCAGCTGCCCACCCTCACAACACTGTGCACGCCAAGTACGACGGCTATATATACGTTGGTACGTGTATTATACACGTATACGGTGTGTCGGTTCATCCCCACCGCGCGTTTACTTTGTACGACTCGACACACGCGCGCGGCAAGGGGTTTAGTGTGGCGGCGGAGGGCGCGAGGTGGCTAAGGGCGGCGCAGGCGTTTTGCTGCACCGACGCATTGATCCCAGGAATTCGGACCCCGAGAGGAGGAAGCGCCTCTGTGTTTCTCTCATGCCCGGAATTCACTTTCTTGCCACTACCACTACTTATATATACACCTAGGTGTACCCTCTACCTGCACCCCCATACGCCCCCCCCTCTCTCTCTCGCTCTTTTTCTCCCGAGTACAACCAACTTGCTGGTATGCAGCGTTGTAGCAGATACTCGCTGTGGTCTTCTTGCCGATCTTTCGTTATTTCTCTCCCCTTGACCCTCCGGGCGAGATTACGTCGCCGCACGGTATGTGAGCCAGACGAGAGCAGAGCAACTGCAACTAGGTGTATAGGGGAGCGAGAAAGAGAAATGACAAAACAAAAAATTTAACGGAAAGGGGATATCGAAGAGGTAACGAAAGGCCCGTTAATGGGATAATGTGGCGAGCTCCGAGAGCTTTTTTTTTTTTTTTTTTTTTTTTATTGANACGAACCTCGTTACGGACCTCGCCTTCGGCTCGGGCCGCAAACCTCTCGGTTTGCAAACAGAGACTTTTCAAACTCGTAGGAAAACTACTATTTCATACAGATTTTGAAAATAGATATTGGTTGCGAACATTATTTTTTCATTTTATCATTTCCATTTTGTTTGTGCATCAATAGTTTACTAGTAACGGAATGATCTCGTATTCATCGTTCTTTGGTATCTTAAAGTAGTCAGGAAATCAGTAGCCGTACTTAAACTATCTTTATCATTTTTATGGTGACCTCATAAACTACTTTATTCTTTGCTGTAGTTAAAATATATCAAGCAATGGTTGGAATAAATATCACGTACACAATATTATTTATTTTTGTACTTCCCGCACGCGCGAGATCGAGAAAGATGAATCGTTGCTTTTTTTTCCCCTTCCTCCGATGATGGGGCCGATACAAGAGGTTTTGAATTGCAAATTATCGCCCTGTTTTTCATCCCCCTCGAAATCGAAGCTTATGAATCGAGTATAATTTTTTTTCATACACACCGCACACCGGCTAATGACGTCAATCCGACCTCTCGATATTTTTCCGCTTAGCCTCCCCTTCCACCCCGAGGGAAAAATCTCGAGTCAGTTTTTCAATTTCGCGTCTCTAGCTCCTGTGGGGCGGCAGCTGTACACGCAGCAAACTCTCGAAGGATACGCAAGGGAAGCTATAACATTAACAAGTTTTTGCAAGAAGTGTATGCGCATATATATACACGGTTGCGCAGAAAAAAAGGGTTAGTAAAGAATGGATGAGCTTGAAATTTCTAGAGGGTATACCTTGCCAACTAACACTACTGGGGAAAAAAAAAAATCCAACGAATGTCAGGTGTTATATTTATCGTGTGAAAGTTTTATAAAGTTGCGCGTGGTTGGGCTTCTTGGTTTTTAAAAATCGTCAATTAACGTGGTCAAAGAAAAAAATAATTTCAAAACATACGGTTGATACAGTGGAAATAAAATGTCATAATAGCGCTGCAAAGTTACTGGGCCCATTAATCAACACCTCGAGTATTGAAAATTAAAGGCGTTGCAAAAAAATCCATGGGTTGCAATTTCAGTACTCAACAACAATATACTAGTTGAGCTAGTTAACACAAAGTTGCGTTACATTATGAAAGTTTTATTAAATCAAGTAGAACCATTGCAATTACAACAATATTTGACTTGTTTTTTATTAACGCGTTTATTATTTTCAAATTAAATTTGCCTCAACGGTTAATTACAACTGTAGTTTCAATAGCATACTTTTAATTTTAACCAGTTATGCGCGTATTTGAGAAAAGTGTAACAATTTGTGAGAAAAGCAAAAGAGAGACCCCGAGGCGTGTTATTAAAAATCTAGAAATAAAATATCGCGCTACAGGGTTCCAGAGAGAAACTCATTACAAACAAAGTTATTCCTCACACGTTTTGCGTCTTTGAAGTGCGATTTCGTTCAAAAACACTTCTTTGAGATGTAAAAGTTGCACGGGACTGCTGGAAAAAGGACGCGGCGAAAATAAAAACGTGGGTAGAAAAGTTGAAAATTCATATAATAAGTTTTTAAGCCAGTGCGTCTGTTAAGAGGACGAAAAAGTTGAGGTCAGGATGTAACAAAAGATTGCGCGGATGAAAAAATTGTACCCTTTCATATGCACGGTATAGCGCGTTAGGATAAAGTTAAACAAGTTGAGTAGGTGGAAGTCGACTACCCTAGCAAATAAAAGCAGGGGTCGTCGACCCCAAAAAGCAGAGCTGAAAAACTAGGGCTAACAATGACCGTTACAAGTACTACAAAAAATATTACACTATCGAGATAGAAAAGGGCAAAAAAAAAATGGAAAAATGTTTTAAGTTGGGGACGTTTAAAATATTCAAGTGGGCCAACGGGACAGCATTGATATATACCGACAAAGTGCCAGTGACCTCAAATCTTAGAATCAAGCTTAGAAGATATTTTGGAAAGTCAAAGAGAGGCTATGTACCAAAAGAAGATCATACATTATTTGGTACACGACACAACATGAATATTCAAGTGGAAGGTCAGAGACCAATGAAACATTAGCAACGGACGATTTTCGGCTCGTTGTCATTAACGATGACGGAAAATTATAGTACAGGTAAATGGAATTCCCTTTCTTTCTGAAAAAATAAAATAAAAGGAAAAGGTCGAGCGAAGGCGCTTTTAAATTTTCGCGAAAAGTCGAGGACGAGTCTTTGCGCGCCGAACCGGCGACGACGCGCGACATATATCAGTCACTTAAAAATGTAACGAATGCTGAAAATTGCCTTGACAAAGTTCGGAATGAAAATTGCATAATACAGAAGGGAGCGAGCGCGGCACATCTACATGTATATAAACGCACGCGATACAGAAGCGGGAGCGATGGGACGCGAGAATAGCTCGTCTCGGTTGAATGGAGAATGAGGGGAGGAAAAAAAAAGTGCAGCGGGTGCAAGGAGACAAGGAGAGGAGGCCATCAGAGGAAGGGGATGAAAGGAGATCGAGGTTGGCGCGTTTGAATTTCCGAATCTCATTAGGTCGCCTCGGTGCCAAATTATATGGAACGTCGGTCCCGGATATGTATATATATATACAGCCGCGCGAGCAGTGGCACCGCAAAAGTAACTATCTACCATCTATACACGTAGTAGCGAAAGCTTGAGATGCAAAACGCACACGCTGCACGTATATATAGTGCGCGTAACTAGCTTCAACCCCATCCTCCCTCTCACCCTACTACACTCGTGTAAACATCCCTGCTACTGCTGCTGCAGAGTTGAGTTGAGTTGAATTTATTTAGTCGACAATGGACTCAAGGTCCTACAACGCCGAGGCATAGTGTATATATTATAAAAGAACAAAATGACTGAGCTAATACAATGGCATCAGCCTAACAAAATTCGCATTAATAAATCATAAAAAAAAGGTATAACAAAAGTAAAGAAATAAACTTAAAAGGAAGAAAATATACATATATATACATGCATACGCACATACATACCTATGCATACACACACACACACACACACACACACAAAAAAGAACAAAATGACTGAGATAATACAATGGCATCAGCCTAACAAAATTCGCATTAATAAATCATAAAAAAAAGGTATAACAAAAGTAAAGAAATAAACTTAAAAGGAAGAAAATATACATATATATACATGCATACGCACATACATACCTA